TATTTGAATTACATATATGAATATATGCCATGAAGTAAAATGCTTGGTGAATACTGATGATATGTTTGTAATGCTTAATGTTTCACAGCTGGTTACAACTTTAAACATTTTCATATATTTTTATATGTTAAATATTAATATTATGATTAGTATTTTTCTCTCCCAAATGGTCATGGGTAAAGACACTAAGGATCTATCAATGCATTAGCAAAGTGTAAGTAATCAATTTTCAATTACTGTCTTTCAGTGATGTGGAAAACTAACAATTTTACATAATCTTTTAATACAACTATACCATAAAATATATGGATAGATATTTCATATTATTTTGTGTATTTTGTTTCTATACAATATCTTGCTAAAATATACCTGAAATACAGATGGGTGATGAACTATTTTTGTTTTCAACAGTACGTCTTTGTTTTGTGAAATATTTTCAATCACAACTAACTGGTGTCATTTATGCTGTTGCGGTAACAGTATATTTATCAGAAAATGTTATCATTTGATGAAAACAGAGACCACATACATGTATTAAATTATATAGTCCCTGATTAAAAAGTCAACAGGCCTCATATTCTGCTATAATTAACGTAAATAGAAATGATCTTACCTTAGTATCTTTTTCTGAGTTTTGGAGCAATGACATGATATGAAATTAGTCTACTGAACTTTCAAGGATTGTTGCTGTTTGCTGAAGTGTCTCATAGTGATATACTCCTATTACTATACTATGTAAAATTGCCTCTGCCATCATAAAACAAAAAAATGTCAAGAACAGTCTTCTTTGAATTAAAAAATGCCAAAACCTGAGCACTCTTTCATTTAGGGTCTGTATGTATTTGATATTTTCGTTGCCACATATATCTATCTATCTATCTATCTATCTATATATATCTATATCTATCTATATCTATATCTATATCTATATCTATATCTATATATGGCAATAACAAATCCAAATTAAATTCTCAATGAATTAGCTCCAAACTGGACAACAACAAAATCATTATTGCAGGGCTCGATTTTAGGAAAGGAAACCTATATGCCCCTGGTGCCACCCTACACGATTACCTTGAAGCCTCAGACAAAAACAGGTTGCACCTCCAGCTCAATATATAATTATCTATTACTTTTGGCTTTGATATTGCTGATTCACAGCTTCATTACAACAAAATTATTCTGGATCTGATATGACAATTTTATATTACTTCATAAAATTTCATGACATGAAAACAAGGGTAATTCTTTCAATCACTGTCGGTGTAATCAGTGCTCCAAGCCAGTTTGGGTCATCAGTCTGTTTCCCAGATGAAGTCTGGTTTTCAACAGCAAAATATGAACATTCACAGTGTGCAAGTAGGTATAAATATGAGGTTACATTTTGCAGTTTTAGATTGCACCAGTGCAAATTCTAAATGCTAAATCGAGCCATGCACTGGGTCACTTGACCAGTTTTGTCTTCTTCTTTTTTAAATGGACACACGTCAAACAGTGTGAAAAACTAGTGGGTAGAATTAAAACTTAAAGCTCTGCTTTTTGAAGCAACAGAATTATTTCAATTTCGCTCCTACTTGGAGAACAAAAGGTGTGCTGTTTAGCTGTTTTAATGTCTAAAATAAATACCGATTTTGAGTGAAATGCATTCACACCTGTAGACGACGACTATTTTTTATCCCGTCATTCCAATTTTTAAGAAATCCATTTACAGTATATCACAGTTTTACACTAGATCTGGTTTCATCCGTAACTGTGAAAGGTAAAAGAATTACATCTTCGATCATCAGAATTGTCCTTCATGTGACGATAGACACATATCAATATTATGTATATATTATGATGACATACTGACATTTCATAATATCTCCCAGTGTAAGAACAAGTCATTATTTGAAAATTATCGACAGCAAGACTTTGAATTTGTAAAAATAAAGATCTACGCACCGACGGCAATATTGAGGCGAAAAATATACAACAAAAGAAAGAAATGACAACTACAGTTGATAATAGCTAACAATAACCCATTGAAGGTGTTTAATAAGTTAATTCTACTATAAATTTTGGATTTTACTGAAATTTGAATCAATTTAGAAAATGTATCAATGGTCGTTTTCCAACGCGTGTGTATATTTTACCTCCATGGGTGCCATGCCGTCAGTGGTTCCGGTTTCATCAAGGGTGGGTACAATTACAAATATTGTGATTATTTTTCATAATCTGTATTATTTAGGTATTGAATCGTTTTCTTAGAATCTATATGAGTTCAGATTCTGATTATGAACGGGTATTTTCTAACATCCTTCGTGTCTTGTCACCTAAAAAACCCGCGAGTTTGGCCACGCCCTTACGCGTCACCCACGGCTGTCAACAATGGGTGTCGGAAGGCTTGTCAAACAAAAATCATTATAAACTCGATAAATATGATAATTGTTTTACAAAGACAATAACAGACACCGAATCAGACCATGTAATTAATTCCAGCGAAAATAATTTGGATCTATCAAAAGGATGGCACAATTTTTTCGGTATCACGATGCATGTGGAGTTGTTTGTTTACCGCCGTTGCCATGATCGTTCCTATTTCATACAATCGGTGATGTAACATTGAGATTGTTTTTGTTTATAACTAATTAAACCGAAAGTTACTATTTTTTCGAAAATATGAAACTTCAGTGTTTTCTCTTCACCAAAGAACAAAAGTATTGATCAAATTAGGAAAAAAATATTTCATTATGAAGAAAATATTAGACTGGGCACCACTCGACGTGATGTGCACGAAGTTAACAATGGCCGTTATTTGTGGCTGTGTGCGTAGAATTTGGCGAACAAATTTTTAATTCGCGGGCGTTTCGTTTTAAAGTATATAAACTAATTGAAGATTATATATTTAGAAAGCTGAGAATTAATGCATTCCATACATAATTCAAATGACACGTGAATCCGACTTGTTGAATAATTATTGCAAGTTTTATTTGGGGATGTCATTATGCAGCATTGAGAGGATTAAAGGGGCACCGATTTTTGACTTCCCGACAGTCTAGACTAACGCCTATAGGCTCTGAATATATATAATTTTGATTGTAACAATTGGAAAGCAGCCCCAGTGAGATGGGAGATTCAGAACCTGAGGAAATCTAGATCTGCATCATTTAGGGCTTTAAAATTGCAGGGAGGGCTTGGCAGTAGGGACAATAATGTGGTTCAGGGACTGTGAGACAGATTACCCGACAGTCTAACACTGTCACCTAGTGCTTGTTACCTGCCGTAAGACTGGCTGATGCAACGGAGTTGACAACAGTCTGTTTTACCGTCTATAATGACAACATAATATACATTTTTACACGCCTTTCTGAACACTGATAGGTGTACCAAAAGGTGCTTGTTAATTGACTTCTTATCCGAAACAACCAGGTAAAACGTGAGGTGGAATCCCATCAAATACCGTTATTAAGAAATATCGCTGTGTTATAGTCTGATTATATAATGTTTCTATTTCTGATCCGTGAGTTATACGATGACTGAGATTGTTTTGGATCCTATTTCTTTGATAAATAGGTCTGTTGACCTGTCGTGTTAAAATACGCATTATTGTAAGCCGTAAATAAATCCCTTTTTGATAAATTGTCTTAATGATAACAAACCATTTAGGTAAATGTGTATATACCATCTGTTACTTTAGTATACTAGTTACATACCACCGCCATATAGCTGGAATATTGCTGAGTGCGGCGTAAAACTAAACTCACTCACTCTCCTTTATAATGCAGCAAATACGTGCACATAACATTGATGTTCCATGCATATTCTGAAAACAGCAGCGACCATTCAGTTAACTTAATTGCGTACAATGCAAAAATTACAACTCTTTTTTTATGTTGGATGGTACAGACCTTTACAGGTTTATTTGTCGTCATCCACTTGCCCGTTTTCTTACAGGCATAAATAGTGATAACTTCTTTGGCATTTTAGAAGTTGGGAAGTACAATATAAACAGACTTTATGGATTACAACTTCTTTATTTCGTGAGAGCGACGTTTCGATACAGATCATTCCTGCTTTACAACAGTACAAGAATCTGTATCGAAACGCCCTTCTCATAATATAGAGAAGTTGTAAACCATAAAGTTGACAATGGTTCCCACTTGGCGTTTCTGGGGTTAATTACTTATACATTCAAGTTTGAATGAACGATTGAATGAATGAATGAATGAATGAATGAATTACGTGTCACCCTAAAATTACAACCATGACAGTATATCTTTCTAAATCTAAGGGACTGTATTCCAGCTCTCCATGGGGCTTCGATGGCTGTACGTAGAGCTGTACAACCAGTGTTAAAAATATATGTGCCAACAGAATCTTTTCTCTAGGATATTTTCTAAGAAGTAACCATATATGTAAACTGAATGTGTAACTGGTGAAAAACAAACATAACCCCATCTCATCTTCTGTTGGCACCAATTCATGCATAAGAAGGGTTTATAGCCTCTTTGGTCGCTGTACGTTTCTTCACAGTGCAATGTCTTTGGTATATTTTGTTTAATGTAGTTATACCCAGTCAGTGCTACCTTGTGATATATCTGTATTTGTGGTCCAATATATTTTGAGGTGGAATTTGGATTTGAAAATGAATGTCTAGAATGCTATTCAAAGTATGAAAGATTTTATGATTGAAAAGATGTGACATGTACTTTTTGAAATAATTATAATAATGCAAAAAATAGACATATTGACTACCTATACCTAAGATGCTCAAAAACATGGCAAAGTGAAACTGAATTAATTATCCTAACTAAGCAGTATTTCTTATATCTTGGATACGGTTTGAGATATTCCAGAACTGATCATCGGAAGATATTTGGTAACTGTTCTTCCCATTCCTTCAGATTTTTTCTTTGGCTTCATTTAAACAATGCTGTGACTTAGTACTTGCAACTTTTTGGCGAAACGTGCAGGTATCTTGTAGCTTGTCATCAAGCATCGTTGGAACCACTGGCACTTTTAATGAGATATTTTTTCAAAAGATACAGGGGAGGTCGACATATATGAAATAAGCAGGGGATGGGACTTAGTTGTAGATGCCTTGGGGTTATGGAACAACATCTTCAAGGAAAGTCCGTATAAAACAGGTTCAAACTGTCAAGAAACACAGTTTTCGTTCAAGTCACTGAAGTATTTTGGTTAGTTGGTTGAAAATACATCGTCACCAAGGAATAAGAAACACTTATAAAGGAAACACGTTGATATCTTCTCTGTTGTAATTGCCACATCCTACGCTGTAGTTGGTTGTTGTCGGGGTCGTTGTTGGTGGCGGTGGTGGTGTTCTATCACCTGAAAGCAAATAACGAAAAGTATACAGAGTCAATCTGACCAATATAACAACAATATATTATCGTAATGGTAGGATGGCCTTGTTGTTAAATCGTTCGCTTATCACGCCTACGTCTGGTTTGGATCCGTAAAATGTTCACATAGTGCTAGGCGCATTGTTGTCTTTGTTATTGTTGTTGTTGCTGTTGTTATTGTTGTTGTTGACTAACTAAATTACACTGTATCCATTCCCTTGTTTAAAAGTCTTGTTAAAGTCGAAATGCATTGTTTGCAGCACCCTCTGGTGTATGTACAACCCATGTTGCCACTTCGACGTTAGGATTTGTTGCGGGTATGTTTGTTTACCCTTTTGAATAGTCACTTAATGGTCATCCTTTGCCATCCTCTTCCCGACCGGGGGCCTCTGAAGATCCGGGGAGACATGGTGTTCGTCAGTTCCCTGGGGTGGATTCCTCGCTTTGGCCTGGGGCTTGTTCCCGGGGGGTCCGTACTTTTGTTTGATCTTCTCCATGGTCAGCCCGTCCAGATTCGGGAGCTTATTCTGCTTGACCACAGTGTCCGGTTGTCTGGTTGGCTTTTCCAGACTGTTCCGTATGTTATTAATGGAGAGTTGCGGAACACCCTCAGCGTTTTTAGAGAAGGGCAGCAACTCTGGGACATGGTTGACATTTTTAACAGCGTTCTCACTGCCGGAACTCCTGGAGTATCGAATGCCGTCTGGGAGTTTGAACTCGGCCTTAGTTCTAAGACCCCGGGGCGGGAACTCACCCAAACGAGGATCTACACCTTCGCGGGGGACTGAGGAAGATCACTACCAGCATGCTGCCCGAAATATCAAGATCAGTTGTATAGAAAATAGTATATTTGGCCAGTGAGTGCGTGAGGTACACAACTGACACCAACACTTCACTAACAGCTTGAATGTCAGTTAACGTTTGGTTTTTAAACAAAAGTTATCACGAGCAATTCAACATCAGTTATTCCTGTAATAAACACAGAATCGATTCAAAAAAAAAAAAAAATACAAGGTAAAATTTATTATGTAGCCTATAATAATGCAGGGCCTCAATAGGCCAAAGAGACACGTTGTAAAACTGTAAAATATACATAATTTCAGAGAGGTACGATAACGGTTCTGTAATATAGATACATAAAATGATAAATATATTAAATAAAATAATGACTTGTTTGAACTAGTTGAAATATGCTTATAACATTTGCGACCATAAAACATAATAAAATACAATAAAATTGATGTATTATGTAATATACACGCGAATGCGCGGAGAAATGAAGAGCTGAGGTTGTAAAACATCGTTTAAAGGATTAACCGATAAATCGCTGTTTGATTACTTGGACAGCTGATTTGTCAAATTTGTTTACTAAAGCAGACTGAATACACCCAAATCTTTAAAAAAAACGTCGGCATTTATACCTACAGATAATCTCATTTACTGATTAAACTGACGATAGGAGGAGGATGAAGGAGCAAGAATTAGCTCTGAAACGTCGTATAAAGAATAAAATGAAGTTGTTATTTATAAAAAAAACATGTCATGTATTCATGACGATAAAGTTGTTACTGGATTTCAGTGGCGCTATCTCTTCTGAAAACATGACACGAGACAATTTCCCCAGTGTCAATCACTGACGTCATAGACCACTTAAACATTCTTGCACTGGGTGTTTCTCGTCAACGCTTATCTTTGCTTTTAAAAGTTACAATTTACATTTATATTTCATTAGTTCATCCTCTTTTCGAAGAATATACAGGTATTTATTTTTTACTTATCTATAAGTTACTGTACAGCCTTTTATTCACTGACTAACTGAGTGTTTTTGTCAGTTAATTTATTACAAACCCAAACACACGAATTGATTTTCGTGAGTGTAAGGATACGTTGGCAAGTTAATCACTAAACAACTATAAATTATTCATTGTGAACTAACTATGTAGGTGAAATACGCGTGCGAGGTATTTACATACATGGAATGACAAATCCCCAGACAGGTTCACTCTCATCAATATGAATCTTGTTAGTTGGATACAACTGACGTGATTTGTGTTTGAAAAGCATTCTTTTCGCAGATGGTAATTCATCCTTTTCATCAGTCAAACAACTTCGATGTGTCGAACGCACAGTTGTCTGGAAGTAAATATCTAGTCCCTGCGTAATTCTTATTAATCATCATTTTGCTGTTGTGTCAAACTTCGAATGACTCGAAGTATGTACGTAGATATGTTCATCATCGACATAACGGTGTTTGACTCTGCATATAATTTTTACAAAATTGAGGGTTTATGAACAGCTTTAAACATACACATTCTTATTAACCATCATTTTGCGGTTGTTGAAAAACAAACATTTAAGGTTTTACAACACTTGATGTAGGTTGTTGATGCGGGTATGGGTGGATGTAATGTACACCGAATGGTGCTACCTTGTACGTCCTGAGACGTATGTAATCGTACGATCAAATATACCAAAGTGTTGTTAAATGCACCAAAGTGTTGTTAAATGCACTAAAGTGACAACCCTTTCATTGACATTTTAAGAAACCTGACATAAATAAATGAAAACGCTGAAATGTTTTTTCCTTGAACAATGCCAATTGTACTTCTTAAATTAAAGGGGCGGTGGGGTAGCCTAGTGGTTAAAGCGTTGGCTCGTCACGCCGAAGACCCGGGTTCGATTCCCCAAATGGGCACAATGTGTTAAGCCCATTTCTGGTGTCCCCCGCCGTGATATTGCTGGAATATTGCTAAAAGCGGCGTAAAACTAAACTCAGTCAGTCCGTCAGTCTTAAATTTAAATCCGGACGCTTCTGGTGCGATGTAATGATGCCTTGACCATGGGCTGTGAAAGCTAAATAGATGGGAGATCACTCAAGGCAATAACCGTCACCCCATTAAGTGTAATCTATATAATGTCAAAGATTCCCACAACTACTTCATGCATAAAAGTTGATACTTTCTAGTCCAAATGATTCTGAACAACATGAATTATTAACATTCTTGAAAAATTTGCTTAAGTAACAACCCACTGATGTTTCCACAGTCACGCACTACTGAATCTGCTTCTGAAGATAGTCGAAAGCGCAAGTCGATGGCTATGGCGCTGGTGTTATATATTTAAGGCATTTTACCGGTTGACACTGGCAATTTTTAAATAAATGTTTTTTTGGATAAAACCTACAAATAGGTTGTGACTGTTACAGTCCAACATGCACCATGCCACATAAAATTTGCAGCTGATGGAATGTACCCCAAGCCGCAAACGCAATGCCTTATAGAAAGTGGTCAAATGTTACAAATAATATATTACGGATAAATATTCTTGGTAAAGTTCCAACTCTTACTACTTTCCTATCCCCTTTCCAAACGTCATCCTTATTTCATTGCTTTCGTCCATGTAGACATTGACAACTTAAACTTGTCAGAGGGGTATAAAAAGGTCTATAGAATGGTTTTGTGCTTGTGAAACTGACTGACTGACTGAGTTTGGATTTACGCCGCTTTTAGCAATATTCCAGCCATCCGAAATGGTTCACACATTGTGCCCATGGATTTGACGAGCCAACGCTTTTCAACTTGAAGGCTACCCCACCGCCCTTGTGATATGATGCCTCATTCCGACAGTGGGGTAAAATCCCAGATGGGACTCAGCCGAAAAGTTTTGTTTATTTTGTTTGTTGTTTAACGCGTGCTTAGCATTGTTCTGGTTATATGGTTGTAAACAATGGAGCCTGGATCAGACAATCCAGTGATCAACAGCATAAGCATCGATCTACGCAGTTTGGATACAATGACATTTGTCAACCAAGTCAGCGAGCCTGACCACCCAATCCCGTTAGTTGCCTCCTACGACAAGCATGGATTGCTTAAGACCCATTTTAACCTGGATCGTCACTGGTTCCCCAAAATACTACTAGAACTTGTACTTTAACTCATGTGTAATCCCAAATATGTCATTGGTTGCATTGCCCATACGGCGTAAAACTAAACTAGTCAACTCATGGGCGGATGAAAGGCAGGATCCGCTGTATGTTGTTTTACATCCGATGTTCGTGCCGAACCGAGCTGTGCTTGTTGTGCTAGTTGTGCTAGTTGTGCTAGTACTTTACTCACGTACTATAAATCACATAGTGATCACAAGTTTATAAAGATCTCCGCCAAACCAACAAGAGACCACCGAATAATCTATAGGTGGACTTCATCTACAGTTTGACTTTATCTCCCAGTGGATCTTATCTCTAAGTGGAATTTGCTTCCATGTGGACCTTATCCCCAAATGGACTTCATATCTCAGATGACTTTATACCTGAGTGGACTTTACCTCCGAGTGCACGTTATGCCAAGTGGACTTTATCCCCAATTCTAAGATGCCTAGCGGTTAGAACAATCGAAAAAACGTAACAATTGAATGACGTTATCCCGTCACTGCGCCATTCTAGTGTGCCCCCTCGTAATCGAACCATTTTACATTACGTCACAATGTAAGCGACGTCACGATGCATGTCAGTTGTCATCGCCTCGTACGGCCTCCTACAGTAAACTACTCCGTTGCATCAACAACGTTGCAGTTGCTTCACGCAGCTAACACTGGTGGAAACATTACGTTTATGTTTTACGACGGTTAAAATGTGTCAATTGAACTCACAAGTTTTCAGCGACGCGGTAACGTTCGCAATGTTTACATTCCCACAATGCAATCGTAGAATGTCGCTTGACTACTCAGCTTCATCTGGATGTACTGATCTAAACTTACGTTTGTAGTAGAAATGCGACGTTCATATTGCCCCATATGGTTTACGTTAATGACAGATGTAATTAAAATAATTCAGGGAAGATATTTAATCCGAACGTAAACCGTCATCAAACTGTTATCATTTGGG